ATCTAGACCAACCCCCCGGGATCACAGCTCAAATGCAGGAATCGCAGCCGACGTGCTGAGCTGCAAGTTGGAAACGCTCTCTCTCCTTTCCCAAAAAACCACGCCATCCATCCATGCTCTCCTGAAGGAGCCGCATCCCTCTGTCCAGGTAGCCCACACCTGCCTCACAGACCTGAAAACCACAGAGGCGGACCCTGCCTCTCAAGGGAGAGATTGTGGGTGGCAGAGGCAAGGAAGCAGCCCAACAGAAGCAAAGCAGCCTCAGTTGGGTGTCCTGTGAAATCGGCGACCTGTTCATCAAAGAGCCCTTTTGCAAAGCTGGTGTGTGCTCTGTGAGACCTAACGGAGGTTCTTTCCACCAAGTCAGATCTTTGGTCCACCTAACCAACTGAATCTAACCAGGCCAGGGACCTAGGTTTGTGCTGCCCACACTGGCTGGCAGCAGCACCCTCCAGAGTTTCAGCTGGGGGATAATCGCTCGCTTCCACCTGGAAATCTTCTAGCACTGAGGCATGGCTCACCACTGAGGGGCAGTGCCAGGGGTTAGGGGCTCAGCCCGCCACCCCACCCTCCTCCTGACCCCTGACCTTGGGTTCAAAGGAGGGGTTCTACACAGACAAGTTCTCCGCTAACATCTGGACAGATGCAAAGCAGATTTAGAGGTTGCGTCTAGTTTGGAGAACCGTTTCTTTTCCAGGCTGAGACTGGCGCAGGTTGCACCGTGGTTCGTATCCCCTGCGCTGGCCGAACTGGCCAGCCTGTTCCACCTCCCCGTGGTCAAATATTTGGACTGGATCCCTCTCTCAAACACACCTGCGGACCTCGTGATGTCCCCTTTGCTCTGTAAATCGGCACAGAACTTTGCTGGCTTTGTTCTGGCCGTTTCCTCGCTCCCGCACCTCGCTTCCTTCCCTGTGGGGCTTTCTGCCACACTCCGCATATGCTCAGGGGACACCTCGACTGGGTCCTGCCGAGGGGGAGGGGCTTCTGGGCGACTTTTGAGGCTGCAACCGGGCTCAAAACATCATCCCCGGGTCGAACTTTGCCAGCCAACTGGCCCTGAGACCCCTGACCTTTCTCTGGACACCCGGATGCAACAAAGGAAATTATATATGGGGAATCCGTAGCCTCAGAAAACATTCTGAGGAAGGACCTAAGAAAGGGGGGATTAAAACCCAGCAAACCAATTCCCCCCTCCTTTATTTTAGCTTTTGCGCAGAGTGTTGATAAGAAAAAGTAGAGAAACTGACTGTACTCACCTGTAAGTTGAAAACTCCGGCGGAGACAGGAGCTGCGATGTTTCTGGAGGGGGCGAGATGCTCTCCGCACCTGGTCCGGCTGCAAATGAAGTAGGCGAGGGACCTGCGTTCAGTTTTATAGCCGGCTCGGTTAGCACCGTTCATTCATCACGGGAGAAGGCTTCCAATTACAAGCTGCGCGCAGCCCTGCCGTATTCCTCCTAAGACAGCGACGGGCAGGTTTTTTTTTTATTCTTTCTCTCTTTCAAACCCCCCACCCCTCTCCGCAGCAACCCCTCCAGCCTGCCACCGCTGTCACGCAGAAGCCTGTTGCAATGAATTGAAGGGGGGAGGCAGGCACCTGCCAACCTTTAACGCACCCCGAAGCATCCTAAAACCTTTTTTAATATTATAAAAAACGCAGCTGCCCTCGCCAGTTCAGCCTTCTCCCTCCGATTTCTATTCTTCTCGTTTTCCGCAGAGGGCAACGTAACAAATGTTGTACGGAGAACGTGTTTAATTGTTCCCACTCCTTCCCTCTCCCCCGCCAATTTCACCCCCCAATTGTCCCAATAACATGCGCCCGGTTGCAAGGTTCAAACCTTCAACGTACGCAAAGAGAGACTTTATTTATCCAGCCCAGACCTCGCTGCTTTTGACCAGGGGCTGGGAAATTGGGGGCGGCGGGTGGGGGGCGGGATATGCGGTCAGCCCAGAAACCTCTGGAGGGATCGCAAGGTGATGTCCGAAAAGAGCAGCTTTGGCTTCTGAGCGCACGCAGAGTGCGTTTCACAGACGCCCAAAGCTCTCCGGTGAATACTGCGGCCGAACCGGATGGGTGGGGTTTGTCGATACAGCCTTGCCGGTCAGCGCAGTTGGTTAGAGCAGGGGTCAGCAAACTTTTTCAGCAGGGGGCCGGTCCACTGTCCCTCTGACCTTGTGGGGGGCCGGACTATATTTTGAAAAAATTAAATTAAAAAATGAACGAATTCCTATGCCCCACAAATAAGCCAGAGATGCATTTTAAATAAAAGGGCACATTCTACTCATGTAAAAACACGCTGATTCCCGGACCGTCCGCGGGCCGGATTGAGAAGGCGATTGGGTCGGATCCGGCCCCCGGGCCTTAGGTTGCCTACCCATGGATTAGAGCATGGCACTGATAAAGACAAGGTCACGGGTCTGATCCCCCTATGGGGGCGTATTGCAGGGGTTGGACTAGATGACCCATGAGGTCCCATTGGGCTCTAGGATTCTATTTTTCTGTACCTGTGTGGATCTCTGGATACTGCTGGACTCCAGCCTGTCGCCAATGGTGAACGATGATGGGAGCCTCTGCACCCCAAACAACAGCTAGAGGAACAAAGATTTATCCAACTCCTCCAGTCTTTGAACATACAGTGGTACCTTGGGTTACATACGCTTCAGGTTACAGACTCCGCTAACCCAGAAATAGTGCTTCAGGTTAAGAACTTTGCTTCAGGGTGAGAACAGAAATTGGGCTCCGGCGGCCCGGCGGCAGCAGGAGGCCCCATTAGCTAAAGTGGTGCTTCAGGTTAAGAACAGTTTCAGGTTAAGAACGGACCTCCGGAACGAATTAAGTACTTAACCCGAGGTACCACTGTGTAAGAGTTATCATTATACGTAGGGCTGCCTCTGAAGACGGTTCGGAAACTTCAGCCGGTGCAGAATTCAGCAGCCAGGTTGCTCACCAGAGCAAGACAGTCTGGGCATATTACACTGATCCTGGTCCAGCTGCGCTGGCTACCGATTAGTTTCCAGGCCCAATTTAAAGTGCTGGTTTTTGACCTATAAAGCCTTAAACGGTTCAGGACCGCAATACCTCAAGGACCGCCTCTTCCCATATGAACCTACCCGGACCCCGAGATCATCATCTTCTTCTTCTTTTGGTGACACCTGGCTTGAGAGCAGTACATGTGAAAAGGATCTAGGAGTCTTCGTTGACCACAAACTTGACACGAGCCAACAGTGTGACGCGGCAGCTAAAAAAGCCAATGCAATTCTGGGCTGCATCAATAGGAGTATAGCATCTAGATCAAGGGAAGTAATAGTGCCACTGTATTCTGCTCTGGTCAGACCTCACCTGGAGTACTGTGTCCAGTTCTGGGCACCACAGTTCAAGAAGGACATTGACAAACTGGAACGTGTCCAGAGGAGGGCAACCAAAATGGTCAAAGGCCTGGAAACGATGCCTTATGAGGAACGGCTAAGGGAGCTGGGCATGTTTAGCCTGGAGAAGAGGAGGTTAAGGGGTGATATGATAGCCATGTTCAAATATATAAAAGGATGTCACATAGAGGAGGGAGAAAGGTTGTTTTCTGCTGCTCCAGAGAAGCGGACACGGAGCAATGGATCCAAACTACAAGAAAGAAGATTCCACCTAAACATTAGGAAGAACTTCCTGACAGTAAGAGCTGTTTGACAGTGGAATTTGCTGCCAAGGAGTGTGGTGGAGTCTCCTTCTTTGGAGGTCTTTAAGCAGAGGCTTGACAACCATATGTCAGGAGTGCTCTGATGGTGTTTCCTGCTTGGCAGGGGGTTGGACTCAATGGCCCTTGTGGTCTCTTCCAACTCTATGATTCTATGATTCTATTCTATGATTCTATGATTCTATGATTCTGAGGCCCTCCTTCGTGTGCCCTCTCCTCAAGAGCTCTGGAGGGTGGCAACACGAGAACGGGGCATTTTCTGTGGTGGCTCCCTGTCTGTGGAACACTCTCCCCAGGGAAGTTCACTTGGCGCCTTCATTATACACATTGGGAGCCAGGCAAAAACGTTCCTTTTTAAGCAGGCCTTTGGTTGACCTGATCAACATCCTAACCCTTTTAAAATGTGGCTCTTTGGGGGGGGCGGTGTTATTGATTTATTCCTTTTATTGTTATTTTATATGTTGCGATCTTTTTATGTGAACTGCCCTGAGACCTCCAGGTATAGGGCGCTATATAAATTCAATAAATAAAATAAAACAAATAAAATAAAATCATAGCATTGCAAATTGGAAGCAGCTCCCAATGTTAATCTAGTCTATCGTCTTGCAACTCAGGAATCATAACTAAATAATCCTGATGGGTAGCCATCCAACCGCTGCTTAAGGTAACGGGACCCCTGACCATTAGTTCCAGTCGTGGCCGACTCTGGGGTTGCGGCGCTCATCTCACTATACTGGCCGAGGGAGCCGGCATACAGCTTCCGGGTCATGTGGCCACCATGACTAAGCCGCTTCTGGCGAACCAGAGCAGCGCACGGAAACGCCGTTTACCTTCCCGCCGGAGCGGTACCTATTTATCTATTTGCACTTTGACGTGCTTTCGAACTGCTAGGTTGGCAGGAGCTGGGACTGAGCAATGGGAGCTCACCCCATCGCGGGGTTTCGAACCGCCGACCTTCTGATCGGCAAGTCCTAGGCTCTGTGCTTTAACCCACAGCGCCACCTGCGTCCCCACGAGGAGAAGAAAACAAGTTTGCTCCATCCACCATGTGGCAACCCTTAACAGTGGGTCCATAAGTGACTGTGGAGGCCAATTCTGGATCCACACGTCCTTCCACAGTGGGGACATAGGTTTCCAGGCAGGCGTTGATGGTTTGCCAAGCGTGTCTTCCTCCTAGCACGTTTCTCCCTTGCGTCCTGAGTTTGAGTGTCTTCAAAATCCACGACACCTTTGGTCAAGGCTGTTCTCCAACTGGAGCACTCGCAGGCCAGTGTTTCCCAGTTGTCGGTGTTTATACAGTGGTACCTTGGGTTAGTGATGTATGGAAGTGAGAGCTGGACCATAAAGAAGGCTGATCACCGAAGAATTGATGCTTTTGAATTCTGGTGCTGGAGGAGACTCTTGAGAGTCCCATGGACTGCAAGAAGATCAAACCTCTCCATTCTGAAGGAAATCAGCCCTGAGTGCTCACTGGAAGGACAGATCCTGAAGCTGAGGCTCCAAGACTTTGGCCACCTCATGAGAAGAGAAGACTCGCTGGAAAAGACCCTGATGCTGGGAAAGATGGAGGGCACAAGGAGAAGGGGACGACGGAGGATGAGATGGTGGGACAGTGTTCTCGAAGCTACGGACATGAGTTTGACCAAACTGCGGGAGGCAGTGGAAGACAGGAGGGCCTGGCGTGCTCTGGTCCAGGGGGTCACCAAGAGTCGGACATGACTAAACGACTAAACAACAACAACCACCACCTTGGGTTAAGTACTTAATTCGTTCCAGAGGTCCGTTCTTAACCTGAAACTGTTTTTAACCTGAAGCACCACTTTAGCTAATGGAGCCTCCCGCTGCCACCGCTGCACAATTTCTGTTCTCATCCTGAAGCAAAGTTCTTAACCCGAGGTACTATTTCTGGGTTAGCGGAGTCTGTAACCTGAAGCGCGTGTAACCCGAGGTACCACTGTACCACATTTTTTTTCCAGATTTGCCTCGAGAGAGTCTTTGAACCTCTTTTGTTGACGCCTTCCGTTTTTAAGTTCGGAATACAATATCGCTTTGAATTTTGCTTGGTTGCTTGTCCCCAACATTTTTTGTATTGTCTTATTGTGCTATGGCTGTATGCTAATGCAATTAAATTAAATTATTATTATTATATAAGTTCGGAATACAGTGGTACCTCGGGTTACATACGCTTCAGGTTACATACGCTTCAGGTTACAGACTCCGCTACCCCAGAAATAGTGCTTCAGGTTAAGAACTTTGCTTCAGGATGAGAACAGAAATCGTGCTCCGGCGGCGCAGCGGCTGCAGGAGGCCCCATTAGCTAAAGTGGTGCTTCAGGTTAAGAACAGTTTCAGGTTAAGTACAGACCTCTGGAACGAATTAAGTACTTAACCCAAGGTACCACCGTATATTGATGCAACGTTGGCCTTAGAGCGATAGAGTTGGAAGGGACCACTAAAGTTATCTAGTCCAACTCTACAGTGGCACCTCAGGTACTTAACCTGAGGTGCCACTGTAGAGGAGTTGCTTTGGAAGACGGTAGTCAGGCATCCGAACAACATGACCAGTCCAACACTGAAGAATCATCGCTTTGACACCGGGGATCAGTTTGTGAGGCAGCATGGAGATGCCCCCACGTCTGGTTCCGCCGCGCACCCCTTCTGAGTCCCCACTTGACTTGACGCAGAAAGGATAATGGAGTAGGGTCTTTCCGTGTGGCATGTATGTGTGGGGGCGTGTGCAGACCACCCCCATCCCCACGCCCTCTGTGGATCCGGAGCTGAAGAGCTCTCAAGATTGACTGGGTGCCCCGTTGAAGGGTGCTTGAGACGGGGTTGTATTGCATCGCCAAGCTGAGCACCTCGCTCCATCAGCGTGCCAGACAAAAGCCGAGGGCGAGGCGGCAGCGCTGGAGGGCTCTACTGAGTGTATTAAGTGCTTTAACATTACAGAGGGGGGAAGCAGGAGGAGATGGGTGGGGAAGGCAAGAGGAAGGATGTACATGCCGTCTGGCAGGAGTCATAACAGCCGGAGGCAGCGAAGAAGGACGGGGCTGGCGCACAGAAAGGAAGAATAAAATTATCGCCCGCGTTTGAAAGGGGCCCGAAGGGTCATTTAGTCCAACCCGCTGCAACCGAAGTCTGTATGTAGTAGGATCTGATGTGGGGTGCGTAACACACCCACAAGGATGTTTTGCCTCCAGGGTCCCTTTGCTGTGAACAGATAATAATAATAATACAGTGGTACCTCGGGTTACAAGAGGGACACGAGTGGCGCTGTGGGTTAAACCACAGAGCCTAGGGCTTGCCGATCAGAAGGTCGGCGGTTCGAATCCCCGTGACAACGGGGTGAGCTCCCGTTGCTCGGTCCCTGCTCCTGCCAACCTAGCAGTTCGAAAGCACCTCAAAGCGCAAGTAGATAAATAGGTACCGCTCCGGCGGGAAGGTAAACGACGTTTCCGTGCGCTGCTCTGGTTCGCCAGAAGCGGCTTAGTCATGCTGGCCACATGACCCGGAAGCTATGTGCCAGCTCCCTCGGCCAATAAAGCGAGATGAGCGCCGCAACCCCAGATTCGGCCACAAATGGACCTAATGGTCAGGGGTCCCTTTACCTTTACCTCGGGTTACAGACACTTCAGGTTACAGACTCTGCTAACCCAGAAATAGTACCTCAGGTTAAGAACTTTGCTTCTGGATGAGAACAGAAATCGTGTGGCAACAGCGGCAGGCCCCATTAGCTAAAGTGGTGTCTCAGGTTAAGAACAGTTTCAGGTTGAGAACGGAACTCCATAACGAATTAAGTTCTTAACCCAAGGTACCACTGTAATAATAAAAATAATAATAATTTATTATTTATACCCCTCCCAGATGCACCCGCCCAGATGGAGCTTGCACAGCAGAACTGCAGGGCAAGAGTTAGTTAGTTAGTTAGTTAGTTAGTTAGTTAGCTTATACCCCACCCATCTGGCTGGATTTCCCCAGCCACTCTGGGCGGCTCCCAACAGAAAATCAAAAGCACAATAAAACATCAGTTATTAAAAACTCCCCTCAACAGGGCTGCCTTTGGATGTCTTCTAAAAGTCAGATAGTTCTTTCTCTCCTTGACATCTGATGGGAGGGCCTTCCACAGGGAGGGCGCCACCACTGAGAAGGCCCTCTGCCTTGGTTCCCTGTAACCTCACTTCTCGCAAGGAGGGAACCGCCAGAAGACCCTTGGAGATGGACCTCAGTGTCCGGGTAGAACAATGGGGGTGGAGACGCTCCTTCAGGTCTATTGGGCCAAGGCCGCTTAGGGCTTTCAAGGTCAGCACCGACAGCGACGAGGCAAAGCCCAGCCCTCAGTCAGCAGGATTTATAAGGCTGGATGTAGCCTTATTTCCTGTCAGCTGACCACCCAGGAAGTGGCCGCAGAGGCGGCACCTTCTGGCCAGTTGAAGCACTGCCAGGAGATGAGAGTTCACCCTGTGTGGGGAGAGTCTGGTGCCAGAGTCCTCTTGCTTCCCCCCAGATTAAGACACCCCAGAGCTTTGTATGTCTTTGCAGAAGGAGTTGGGGGCTTGTTGCTCAGCAGCTGCAGATTAAGTGGTGCTAACCGGGGTGGATAGAAATCAATGAAGCAACGATCACCCGTGTCGAAGTGATGATTCTTCAACATCAGCTTCGTTGGACTGGTCATGTTTTGCGGATGCCTGATGATCGTCTTCCAAAGCAACTACTCTATTCTGAAGCCACACCTCAGACTCTTTTCTGTTGCTGTCAAATCTGGAGTGAGCTTATGGTCATTGTCTTTAGGAGCATAGAAAGTCGCCTAACACTGAGTCAGACCATTGGCACATTGAGCTGGTTACTGCTTGAGTACTGATTCCATCAATGGTGTCTCTGAAGTATTTGACACATCACTTGGGAAGACAGGTGAACTGATGCCAGTGTACTGGGAGAAGCAAAGATCCCAAGTGTCGAAGTGATGATCCTTCAACATCATCTTCTTTGGACTGGCCATGTTGTGTGGATGCCTGATGATTGTCTTCCAAAGCAACTACTCTATTCTGAACTTTAAAATGGGAAGCGTAATGCTGGTGGTCAACAAAAGAGGCTTAAAGACAAATCTTTTAAAATGTAGTATAAACACCGACAACTGGGGAACGCTGGCCTGCGAGCACTCCAGTTGGAGAACAGCCTTGACCAAAGGTGTCGTGTGCTTTGAAGATGCTCAAAGTCAGGACGCAAGGGAGAAACGTGCTAAGAGGAAGGCACGCTTGGCAAATCCACACCGGGATCAACTCCTGCCTGGAAACCAATGTCCCCACTGTGGAAGGATGTGTGGATCCAGAATTGGCCTCCACAGTCACTTACGGACTCACTGTTAAAACCGTGTTTACGGAAGACAATCTTACTCGGCTACAAGGGACCGCCAAAGAAGAAGAAGAAGAAGAAGAAGAAGAAGAAGAAGAAGAAGAAGAAGAAGAAGGCTCCATCATAACTTGTTTACACTGTTGAATTTATCTTAATGCTGCTAGCGTTTTCAGCTGCACACAGTTATTTCCCATATATGCAATAAAGGTTTTCCAATCTTCTCTAAACTGTGGAAGAACGTGTGGATCCAGAATTGGCCTCCACAGCCACTTACGGACTCACTTTTAAAACCGTGTTACGGAAAACAATCTTACTCGGCTACGACGGATCGCCAAAGAAGAAGAAGATTTTGCTCAATGGCTCATCCAGCCCTGATAATCTCCACCTCCAGGGCATGTGGCTCCTCCCTCAAGCCAGCACCTCCCACCCACCCACCTGAGCCTCAGCCCCTGGGTCTTCTCTCTGTAACCCCGGTCCTGATCCATACCCGTAACTCTCCTCTCTTCCCAGACCTTTTGAGCTGCCAAGCGCACGAGAGGGAGGGAAGGGGGGTGGGCTGCGAAAGGCTACATTTCGCGTCACACCAGAGGAAATTAAAAAGATTCATGCCACTGGCGTTCGTCTCGTTAAAGGTCCGCGGCTCGTTAAGGCTGGCGCAGCAGGCAAGGACACCTCATAAATTACAGGCGGGCACTCGAAGCAGATGCCCCCCTGACAAGGAGGTGGAAAGGAGGGGGAATCGGCCCCAGATAATCTGACACCGAAAATAGGCTTGGAAGACAGACGCCACTGAGATTTCACAAAGAAGAGGGGGAAATGTGGGTTTTTCACGCCACAGAAGAGGAGGCGTTGTGGGTTGGTCCTGTGGGTTACCCAAGAGGCAAGGTCCAAGTCAAAGGTGCAACGTGGAGGCAGTCTGTAGTAGCTGAAGCTGGGTGCAGGACAGGGAGTCGGGTGAAGTCAGGAACAGGCTGGCAAGCAGGGAGCCAGGGCGGATCAGGAGCTCAGGCAGAAAAGCAGGACAGGGTTCGGGCAGGAACTAGCAACCAACAAAGGGACGCGGGTGGCGCTGTGGGTTAAACCACAGAGCCTAGGACTTGCTGATCAGAAGGTCAGCAGTTCGAATCCCCACGACGGGGTGAGCTCCCGTTGCTCGGTCCCTGCTCCTGCCAAGCTAGAAGTTCGAAAGCACATCAAGTGCAAGGAGATAAATAGGTACCGCTCTGGCGGGAAGGTAAATGGCGTTTCCGTGCGCTGCTCTGGTTCGCCAGAAGAGGCTTAGTCATGCTGGCCACATGACCCAGAAGCTGCACGCTGGCTCCCTCGGCCAGTAAAGCGAGATGAGTGCCGCAACCCCAGAGTCGGCCACGACTGGACCTAATGGTCAGGGGTCCCTTTACCTTTATAGCAACCAACAATGTTGCTCCCGCAACTTGGGACTGGGGCTGGCTGGCTTTTATCTGCCCCGCGGCACAGGGCGGCCCCGGTCCACAGGTGACTTGCCTCTCCTGGCCTGGAGGCGAGCACTCCTCCTGCGGGAACTTAGTTCCCTCCGCCTCTCTGCCCTGAGCCTCTGCAGCTCAGGAGAGGCTGGGGGGTTCCTGGACCCAGAGGCAACCTCAGCTTCCCCTGACGGGGCTGGGAGTGGAGCACCTGCAGGCAATGGGTCCTCCATCACCTCCGGAGCCAGAGCAGACTCAGCAGATGCCTGCACCTGAGGATCCAGCACAGGTGAGGACCCTTCGGCTCATGCCCCAGCCCCGGCTCAGCTGGTTCTGGAGGCGGGGAATCCTGTGCAGGCTGGGATCCCTCAGGTTCAGCATCCGAGTCCGAATCCCAGGCCATCACACGTTGGAGGCCATTTCTGAGTCAGCCAGGCAAGTGTCTGGGCATTCACTGGGTGTGGGTCAGTTTGTACACACGTCTAGATCATAGCAGCCTAGCCTTCTCTCATGTCTCACAGCTGTGGATAAACCAAGAGTTTTAAAGTGGCTAGAGGGCTCCCATTGGCTTCTGACGTCCCCTGACGACCTGGAGGTCTAAAAGCTGCACTACCACCTCCTGGCCACTAGTGGCGCCGAAGCGCAGTGAAGATACCCTCTTAGCATATCTAAGCGCTTCTGGCAAAACCAGAGCAGCACACGGAAATGCCATTTACCTTCCCGCCAGAGTGGTACCTATTTATCTACTTGCACTTTGACATGCTTTGGAACTGCTAGGTTGGCAGGAGCAGGGACCGAGCAATGGGAGCTCACCCCGTTTGGGGATTCGAACCACCAACCTTCGGATCGGCAAGCCCTAGGCTCTGTGGTTTAACCCACAGCGCCACCCGCGTCCCTACCTATCAGCTAATTGGCGCTGACAGCAAGTCCTGTTTGCAAAGGAGAAAAAATTTGAGAGTTCCCTTTAAGCTTCCTGTGAAGCTGTGCCCTAAAGATGGATGCAGCCAAGATATCGGGTGCCTTCAAAACCTCAAACTCCAGTGTGATGTAGCTGTTAGAGGGCCAGCCGGGCTAGGGGCTCCGAGACCCGAGTTCAAATCCTCACTCAACCATGAAGCATCACCGGTGATGAGTCTCTCTGTCTGTCTGTCTGTCTGTCTCCACCTGGCCTACTTTGTGGCATAGCTATCAATCGTCCCTTATTTGGTGGGAAAGTCCCTTATCCCAGCACCATGTCCTGCTGCTGTCCCTTATTGATGATGTCCCTTAAATTTCCCGGGTTTCAAAGGAAGCAGCTCCTCTCCCTCCCTCCCTGCCGGCCAGGGAGGAGGGAGGCTCCAACTGGGTTGCTTGGCTGCGTTGCTCACCCAATAAGGAATCTAAGAACGACTGGGGGGTGGAGCTTGCATGCCTTGTGCCAATCAAATCGGCCGCCTTGCCTGGGGACTCGCCTTTGCTCAGCGCTTCCCAGCGGAGAGGTGACGGTGGTTTTCCTTGCTGCATCCCCTTTGCCGGGTTGCTGCGCTGTGGGAACCACCGCTTGAGGCTTCGTTTGGCTGCTGGCTGGGCTTTCTGCCTTTGGCTCGGAGGGGCTCAGAAGTTGAACATACCTGTGCTGGGGAAATCCCTTATTTTGGCTGCTGATCCCTTATTTTTGAGGCTGCTGGTCCCTTATTTTCAAATTTGTAAGTTGACAGCTATGCTTTGTGGGGCGGTTGTTAGGATAAAATCTAAGCCATGCACATACACAGCAGCAAGCAAGGGAATCTGCATAAACAAATAAGGGGGGGAGGATTTCTTCCCAACCACCTTCCAAGAAAGAATGCCAAAGGAGGTCTCTGTCTGTGTGTGATTTTGCGACGAGGCCGTGGCCAGAGGAAGGTTGCCACTCGCTTAATTGGGATGCTATTCTAAGGCTTCTTGAAAATTTGTGAGCTTTGACACCCTGTTTCTACACTTATTCTACCCCCCTTCCATCTGTTCCACGGCAAAAGTGTACAGAGATTTTTGCATACTGTTGCTGGGCAAAAAGAGGCAGCCTTCTCTTTCGTTCTGATATCCCTGTTCTTCCCTTCCTACTACTGCTGCAACGCGCTCTACGTGGGGCTACCTTTGAAGGTGACCCGGAAACTGCAATTAATCCAGAATGCGGCAGCTAGACTGGTGACTGGGAGCGGCCGCCGGGACCACATAACACCGGTTCTGAGAGATCTGCATTGGCTCCCAGTACGTTTCCGAGCACAATTCAAAGTGTTGGTGCTGACCTTGAAAGCCCTAAACAGCCTCGGCCCTGTGTCCCTGAAGGAGCGTCTCCACCCCCATTGTTCTGCCCGGACACTGAGGTCCAGCTCCGAGGGCCTTCTGGCGGTTCCCTCACTGCAAGAAGTGAGGTTACAGGGAACCAGGCAGAGGGCCTTCTCGGTAGTGGCGCCCACCCTGTGGAACACCCTCCCTTCAGATGTGAAGGAAATAAGCAGCTATCCTATCTTTAAAAGACATCTGAAGGCAGCCCTGTTTAGGGAATTTTTTAATATTTAACGCTATACTGTTTTTAACACTTGATTGGGAGCCGCCCAGAGTGGCTGGGGAAACTCAGCCAGATGGGCGGGGTATAAATAATAAATTATTATTATTATTATTATTATTCCTCTGCCTCAGTCGTCACGACGCCCCTGCAAGGGCGTTCGGACTGAAAGAAAAGGGATAACAGTAGCTGGCTGGATTTATAAGGACATCAGAAGTGCGTCCTCTTCTCATCAATGGTATTTTAATATTTTTTTGGAAGCTGCCCAGAGTGGCTGGGGAAGCCCAGCCAGATTGGCAGAGTATAAATAATAAATTAGTATTCTTATTATTATGGCCAGAAGAAAGAACTGAATTAGAACAAAACATTGAGATTGAAGTCCATAAAAAGGTTAAATATTTAGGGATTTGGTTAATATCAAGAAATATAAACCTATTTAAAAATAACTATGAAAAAAGAAATTTAGAAATATGGAGCAGAATGAATCTCTCAATGTTAGGAAAAATATCGGCGATTAAAATGAATGTGTTGCCAAAAATGCTATTTCTTTTTCAATCAATACCAGCCATCCAGAAAGATGAATGCTTTAAAAAATGGCAGAAAGAGATTTCAAGATTTATCGGGAGAGGGTGGCAAAAGGCCAAAGATAAAACATAAAATACTTACAGATGTAAAAGACAGAGGCAGGTTTGCCCTCCCAGACCTTAAATTGTATTACGAATCTGCTTGTTTGGTATGGATCAGGGACTGGATGAGATTGGATAAGCAAGATAAGCAAAATTTTAGGGTACACACACACACACACACACACACACATAGCAAACACACGCTCCACAGAAAACCCCAATCTTTCACCCTTCAAAATTTAGGAAATATTCCCTGAGAAAGCTACACGTTATTTTAGCCCACAGAACAATCCCAAATAGCTCTCCTGATTATTCTAAATTTATTTCCTCTACAGAAGGAAATATCCTGCAGGCAGCTTTCCCAATAGTTCTTTCACTTACAAATCCTGTCTTTGGGGCATATATTGTGTATGGAGAGGGGATGTCCTATGACCTGGATTCAAGATTTACCATCTCAAAATAATAGCCAGACTGCCCAGGTAATGCAATCAGCAAAACATTTTCAGGTTTTTTGGCAGACAGGAGAGAAGCCACACTCTCAAATTTCTGCACCCCTGTTTCTGTGATGTATGTATGATGCTTTTGGGGGGGTCTTTGACTAAGGGGTTGGGGCAATGTCTAAAGTCTTAAATGTTCCTGCAGTTTGTTTACCTCCTAGCAAGAAGGGAGCAGAACTCTTTTGCAACAGAAAAATTAAAATCTTCTTTACTTTCACTGAAAGCTGCCTCCATCCTTTCTCAGACCAGTCATGGACTTAGGGGGCTCAGAGTCCCTTGTGGCAGCAAAGATCACCCCAACCCCCAGTTTTCTACAGCAGTGGCTATCTGTGTAAGGTAAAGGGACCCCTGACCATTAGGTCCAGTCGTGGCCGACTCTGGGGTTGCGGCGCTCATCTCACTTTCTTGGCCGAGGGAGCTGGCGTACAGCTTCCGGGTCATGTGGCCAGCAGGACTAAGCCGTTTCTGGCGAACCAGAGCAGCGCATGGAAACGCCGTTTACCTTCCTGCTGGAGGGGTACCTATTTATCTACTTGCACTTTTGACGTGCTTTCGAACTGCTAGGTTGGCAGGAGCAGGGACCGAGCAACGGGAGCTGACCCTGTCATGGGGATTCGAACCGCCGACCTTCTGATCGGCAAGTCCTAGGCTCTGTGGTTTAACCCACAGCACCACCTGCGTCCCGGCCCTCTGTGTAGGGTTGATGTATTTCAGGAAGTAAAAAAATCCAGACACAAAGGTTTTTTGGGGGGCGGGAAGGGAGGGGAAATGGCCCAAAGGTTGAGAAATCAACCTCAAAGTTGTTCAGCTTCTGAACATAAGGCAACCCTCCATCTGTGCCTCTAGTGGGTGTTAATTCCATAATTTAACTCTTTCTTTTATCTGTCAGCTGTTCTGGCATTAGGAGAGGGGGAGAAAAGCTTTCCTTTGCCCACTTTCTCATGCACGACAATCAGATACACCGTATTTTTCGCTCTATAAGACGCACCAGACCACAAGACGCACCTAGTTTTTGGAGGAAGAAAACAAGAAAAAAATTATTCTGAATCTCAGAAGCCAGAACAGCAAGAGGGATCGCTGCGCAGTGAAAGCAGCAACCCCTCTTGCTGTTCTGGCTTCTGGGATAGCTGCGCAGCCTGCACTCGCTCCATAAGACGCACACACATTTCCCCTTACTTTTTAGGAGAGGAAAAGTGAGTCTTATAGAGCAAAAAATACGTAGATCAAAGCATCTCATCTGTTCCAGGACCTCTGTGTCCCCTTCTCTTTCCAGGTGATCATTCTATGCCCAGTGAAGTTTGATTTCAATTTCACCTCTTTCCTAACAGGCTTTTTTCCTTTCTTTCTTTTTTGGGCAGAGTCCTGCAAGACTCCCTTTTGCAGGCAGTACGGTAACTGGGGCCAGCGAGGTGGGAGGGCGGGCAGCAGCCAGGTAACAAAAGGAGAGAGTGTTTGCATCGACTCCGGGAGCAGGAGGAAAACAAACAGGTTCCCTTTTGGATAAACACAAGGCCTGGGCAAAAGTCCAGCCTTGCCCAACTGCAACAGCTGGCAAGCAACCGATGCCCTGCAGGGGCTGGCAGAGGGCACAAGAGGAGGAAGAAAGCCTGCACTGTCCGCCCACATTTATTCTATTGCTTTCCCATTTCGTTCCTCCAAGGAATGCGGCGTAACATACGCGGTTCACACCAACCTCCTCCTGTTATCCATACAACAACCCAGTGAGGTAGGTTAGGCCCAGAGACAACACCATCTATGGTGAGTTTCACGGCCTAGTGGGGGTTCAAAATCTAGTCTCCCAGCTCCTATTCTGACACTCTAACCCTGGGGTCAACAAACCTTTTCAGCAGGGGGCCAGTCCACTGTCCCTCAGACCTTGTGGGGGGCCGGACTATATTTTTTGGGGGGAAATGAAGGCATTCCTATGCCCCACAAATAACCCAGAGATGCATTTTAAATAAAAGGACACATTCTACTCATGTAAAAACACACTGATTCCTGGACCGTCCGCGGGCTGGATTTAGAAGGTGATTGGGCCGGATCCGGCCCCCGGGCCTTAGTTTGCCTACCCATGCTCTAACCACTACAGCCCAATGGCTTGGGAAATCTCAGCAGTGGCTTCCTTTAAACTCCTTGGCCGAGGGAGCCATGTGCTTTAAATGTGCATTAAAAGGTAAAGGTAAGGGACCCCTGACCATTAGGTCCAGTCGCAGCCGACTCTGGGGTTGCAGCGCTCATCTTGCTTTACTGGCCGAGGGATCCGGCATACAGCTTCCGGGTCATGTGGCCAGCAGGACTAAGCCGCTTCTGGCGAACCAGAGCAGCACACGGAAACACCATTTGCCTTCCCGCCAGAGCGGTACCTATTTATCTACTTGCACTGGCGTGCTTTCAAACTGCTAGGTTGGCAGGAGCAGGGACCGAGCAACGGGAGCTCACCCCGTCATTGCGGGGATTCGAACCGCGACCTTCTAATCGGCAAGTCCTAGGTTCTGTGGTTTAACTCACAGCACCACCCGTATCCCTTACACAATGCTTATTTACATATTTTCATTTTCATTCTTTTATTATTGCATTGACAGCTCAAGCTGGCGTACATGGTCCGTTTGATTCCCACAAAAACCTTGCGAGGTAGGTAAGGCTGCGGCTGAGTGGCTGGCCACACCAAGTGAGCTTCCTGGCCGAGTGGGGATGGATGGAGGACCCCGGTTGCTTCTCCCAGGTCCCAGTGCAGCACTCTGACCACTGCACCACACTGCCTCTCTGTCAGTTCCCACTTTTGAAACAGCACCTTGTAATTCAGCACTCGTCAGGAATGAGCCAGCTCCCAGCGAAGCTTTGTAGCCTGCTGCAGAAAGCAGCCAGGAACAGAGAGGCTTTGATGTTAGTCAGGCAGAAGAGAGCTGGCAGTTCAGACTTCGGCTCTTCCTGACCTTGATGGGCAGGCTGATAAGGCAGTCACTGAGAGCAGGCTTGAACACAGCCAAAGCTCGCCAGAAGCACAAACAGGCGCGAACAAACTCAGAGACAACCTCTCCGAAAAGGAAGAGGTTGGAGCTGATCCACTAAGTCCGAAGAGTTGGCGAATGGGAGGGCTGCTACACAGGAAGCAAAATAAGAGACATAAGGGCCGTAAGTTCAATATCTTCTGTCGACACCGGAAGGAGTCTTCAGAAGGGTCATCTTGAGCCGTGATGCCAGCGGCTTTGTTAGAGCCGTCTGGAGCTCTCTGTTTTTGCAATAAATCCTCCTTTTTAATTGTCTACGCTTACTGTGTTATCAAGCTGGGAACCTGTTCTCTTGACAGCACTTCAGAAAACCCACGAGCATTTTGGCCATGGGGCATTTCAGAAGCTTTATTAAGTGTCAAATCCTGCCCTTGGGACACAGGCTGCTCCTTTTTGCAGACCTCAGTCCTTGCAGGGAGTTGGACTAGATGACACTTCGACTCCCTTTCAACGCCGCAATTCTACGATTCGGTCTTCTCTCTTATCCCCCTTCGTCTTCTCCCCTCCCCTCTTTCCCCCATTCAATTGCAAAGCGGTAGGCATTTCCTTAGAGAGGGGAGGGGGAAACTCCAGCGCCTTTTGATCGTTCTCATTTTAATATCCCGCGACACCTTCCCACCGCCCCCAGGTAAAGGTGAGCGCTGAACGAGAACAGGCCCCGACTTTGATTTATGCTTCCTATTTTCTATTTATCCGGCAACTTCTCTCTCTCTTCGCTTTGCCATTGTGCAAGGAACAAAGGCGAGATGAAAAGCAGCCCGGTCTTAAACCGCTGCGCTGAAAATCGCTTCCTGGTAATGAATAAAGGCATGACGCCAAACGGGGGGAAAAGACTCGGAGATCCCAGGACCCGCGGGGTTGCTTTGTTGACGGCTTTCCGGTTCTGCATGTGAGTGGGCAGTTCTGGGTCGAGACATGGGTCCCTGGTCTGATCCAGCAAGCTCTTCTCCTATTCCCTGAGGGGCAGCTGGGTGACCACTTTGCAAAAAAGGAGCTGGACTAGATGTGATAGTGGCTTCTTCCTATATGCTCATGGGTCCTACGTGCTGCTGCTGCTGTAGCCTCACCATCACCATTGATGGAATCTTTCGAGGAGTTGGAGGTGGTGTTTATAAGTGATCCACGTTTCACAAGCATACAATAAGGTTGGTGTTGCGATAGCTTTGTAAACAAGCCTTTTGCTTTCCCTGCGAATGTCCCAGTCCTCAAACACTCTGCACTTTAATCGGGTGCAATATAAGCACGTGCTAAAGGCATCTAGTGAAGGACCACAGAAATTTCCCATCGCTGGGTTTTCCACCAGTAGATGGAGGGTGGCGCTGTGGGTTAAACCACTGAGCCTAGGGCTTGCTGATCAGAAGGTCGCGGTTCGAATCCCCGCAATGACGGGGTGAGCTCCCGTTGCTCGGTCCCTGCTCCTGCCAACCTAGCAGTTCAAAAGCACGTCAAAGTGCAAGTAGATAAATAGGTACCGCTCCAGCAGGAAGGTAAACGGCGTTTCCATGCACTGTTCTGGTTCGCCAGAAGCGGCTTAGTCATGCTGGCCACATGACCCGGACGCTGTATGCTGGTTCCCTCAGCCAGTAAAGCGAGATGAGCGCCGCAACCCCAGAGTCGGCCACGACTGGACCTAATGGTCAGGGGTGCCTTTACCTTTACCTTTAAGGGTATATGAAGAGCTCTGCTGGACCAGTTGAAAGGGGGGCTGTCTGTTCCAGCTTCCTGCTCTTGCTGTGGCTAAGCACATGCCCCAAATGGGATGCCCACGGGCAGGATCCAAGCAGAAGGGCAACTCTTCCTCACTCGGTGGCACTCGCTGCATCTGATCTTGGAGGGAGAACACGGACATCACAATCGCTAGCTGTTATAACAAAAAAACCCTGCTCCCTTTCCCTTACAGGGTCTTCCATAATAAATAATAACAATATTTTTTTATTTATACCCTGCCCTTCCCGGTTCAGAAAACTGGGCTCAGGGTGGCTAACAACAAATTTAAAACACTTAATTGATGCAACAAAAAACAGCATAAAATACAGTATAAAAGGTGAATAACAAAGGTCGGTACAGTTAAAACTATGGTTTTCCCAGTAGTGATGTATGGAAGTGAGAGCTGGACCATAAAGAAGGCTGATCGCCGAAGAATGGATGCTTTTGAATTCTGGTGCTGGAGGAGACTCTTGAGAGTCCCATGGACTGCAAGAAGATCAAACCTCTCCATTCTGAAGGAAATCAGCCCTGAGTGCTCACTGGAAGGACAGATCCTGAAGCTGAGGCTCCAAGACTTTGGCCACCTCATGAGAAGAGAAGACTCCCTGGAAAAGACCCTGATGTTGGGAAAGATGGTGGGCGCAAGGAGAAGGGGACGACAGAGGACGAGATGGTGGGACAGTGTTCTCGAAGCTACCAGCATGAGTCTGACCAAACTGCGGGAGGCAGTGGAAGACAGGAGGGCCTGGCGTGCTCTGGTCCAGGGGGTCACGAAGAGTCGGACACGACTAAATGACTAAACAACAACAACAGCAACAATAAGTTCAGAATTGAAAAATCAATTTATGGGGAAAATCCATCCAATAAACATTAGATGATCACCAGGGCTAGCTGGCTAAATTAGTCCTATTTGGGCCAGCGAGGAGACCAGGTGAGAATTAACTGTGGGATCCCAGAGTGGGTAATCTTCATAAAAAGGGGAGGGGGAGGGAAGGAAGGGGAATAAAAGATCAGGCCAAGTTCAAATTGAAAGCCAGGCGGAATAGCTCTGGCTTACAGGCCCTGCGGAAGGAGATTAAATCCTGCATTTCCAGAGCCTGTACAGAGTCCTTAAGTGGGTTCCCTGTCGGTAGGAGAAAAATAACATGAGGCCAGCCAGAGAATATTGAGAAGCAAAGCGGCTAGTAAGCCTGATCTTTATTCAAGGAGCCGTTGCAACAGGGTCCACATTCACAACACGCAGGACAGAGGAGAACCCCGAACAATGGTGCACAAGCCCCTATATAGACTTTTGAAATTGCCCACCCTGTAGCCCAAGACCACCCCCCAAAACATACATACATCACAGAAGGAGGCGGTCTGCAGCAGAAATTTGAGTGTATTGCTTCTCTGCTTCTCTCCTGTCTTCCAGGATACCTGATAATAATGCCTTACTTGATTGCATTTTCTGGGAAGCCTGGCCATTCCCTGGAGATAGTAAATATTAGTTCCTGAATCTCTTATGCATATTGAGAGTGTGCTCAGCTTAACAGATACTTGCCAGGCTGTGTTTGCAAAGGGAGGCGTAAGCCCCTACATTCCAAAGACAACTCGAAAAATGCTTTTCCCATTTCCTTCCTCCTTGCAGAGAAATATTTGTGGTCCATTTGGGAGAGTCAAAATGGCTTCAGGATTGCTCTCCTGTACAATTTGCAGACACGTGGTTTTACATAAGTTATGTATTTGTTTGCCTTGCACATTTATTATGAACACTTATTCTATATTTGAGAGCTTAGAATCCTTATAACTTACCGTATTTTTTGCTCTATAAGACTCACTTTTCCCCTCCTAAAAAGTAAGGGGAAATGTGTGTGCGTCTTATGGAGCGAATGCAGGCTGGGCAGCTATCCCAGAAGCCAGAACAGCAAGAGGGATCGCTGCTTTCGCTGCACAGCAATCCCTCTTGCTGTTCTGGCTTCTGAGATTCAGAATATTTTTTTCTTGTTTTCCTCCTCCAAAAACTAGGTGCGTCTTATGGTCTGGTGTGTCTTATAGAGTGAAAAATACGGTAGCTTATGGATAGCCTTTCCCTCTGCAAGCTTGCCTGATCCTGTTTCAAAGCTGTCCAGACCATTGTCGCCTCTTTTGCAAGGGAATCCCATAATTTTCAGTATGCACTGTGTGAGCAAATCGTGCCTTTTGTCTGTCTCCCAGCATTCAGCTTTGACTCTGTTGGGTACTCAGATTATGAGAGGGGGTTTGTTGTTTTTTTAAGCTGTCTCCCTTTCTGGGGCAAAGTCTTTCAACGGGTAAGTCACCAAACAATCTGCCTCACCAGATCCTAAGATAGCTTTATTTTCCTACTATTTCCCAGCTGCTCTGGATTCGTCTAATAAAGAGCTTATGGCTCACCTGTTGCTTGTGGCTGAGAAACTTGCTATATAGCCAGATGATGTAGGGAAAAAACTGTTCCTTTTCCCTTATGGGATATTCCAGAGCCCTTATACAGTGGTACCTCGCGTTAAGTACTTAATTCGTTCCGGAGGTCCGTTCTTAACCTGAAACTGTTCTTAACCTGAAGCACCACTTTAGCTAATGGGGCCTCCTGCTGCTGCCACGCCGCCGGAGCACGATTTCTGTTCTCAACCTGAAGCAAAGTTCTTAACCTGAAGCACTATTTCTGGGTTAGCGGAGTCTGTAACCTGAAGCGTATGTAACCTGAGGTACCACTGTAGAGTCTTTAAGTGGGTTCCCTACTGGTAGGAGAAAATAACAGATGCCAACCAGAGGAAACACTGGCCTGTGAGCGCTCCAGTTGGACAGCAGCCTTTACCAAAGGTGTCATGGGCTTTGAAGACACTCGAACTCAGGATGCAAGGGAGAAATGTGCTAAGAGGAAGACACGCTTGGCAAATCCACACAGTGATCAACTCCTGCCTGGAAACCAATGTCCCCTCTGTGGAAGGATGTGTGGATTTGGTCTCTATAGTCACTTGAATTGGCCTCTATAGTCACTTATGGACTCATTGTTAAAACCGTGTTTATGGAAGACAATCTTACTCGGCTACGAGGGATCATCAAAGAAGAAGAAGAGGAGGAGGAGGAGGAGGAGGAAGAAGAAGAAGAAGAAGAAGAAGAAGAAGAAGAAGAAGACGAAGAGGAGGAAGAGGAAGAAGACGATGAAGAAGAAGAGGAGGAGAAAAAAGAGGAAAAGGAAGAGGAGGAGGAGGAGGAGGAGGAGGAAGAAGAAGAAGAAGAAGAAGAAGAAGAAGAAGAAGAAGAAGAAGAGGAGGAGGAGGAGGAGGACGAAGAGGAGGAAGAGGAAGAAGACGATGAAGAAGAAGAGGAGGAGAAAAAAGAGGAAAAGGAAGAGGAGGAGGAGGGGGAGGAAGAGGAGGAGGAAGAAGAAGAAGAAGAAGAAGAAGAAGAAGAAGAAGGAGAAGGAGAAGGAGAAGGAGGAGGAGGAGAAGGAGAAGGAGAAGGAGAAGGAGGAGAAGGAGAAGGAGAAGGAGAAGGAGAAGAAGATTGAGAAGCAAAGCAGCTAGTAAGCCTGATCTCTATTCAACTGTTGCAACACGGTCCCCACTCACCACACGCAGGAGGGAGGATGAACCCAGAACATTGGTGTGCAAGCTCTTATATAGGCTTTTGAAACTGCCCACTCTGTAGCTCAAGACCACCCTGCAAAACACCGTACACACATCACAGAAGAATCAGTCTACAACAGAAATGACAATGGCCTGTGATTGCTTTATTTAGGCAGCTGGGCCATTCTTTTGTGATGGTAAATACATTAATTCCTGAATCCAGGTCACAGGCTCCCCCTATTCATACACTGAGATGCCCTAAAGGCAGGTAAGCAAAAGACAATGACGAGGCTTTTCCCATTTCTTTCCTCCTCGCAGAGAAACATTTGAGGTCAATTGGGGAGAGTCAAAATGGTTTCAGGATTGCTCTCCTGTACAGTGGTACCTCGGGTTAAGTACTTAATTCGTTCCAGAGGTCCCTTCTTAAACTAAAACTGTTCTTAACCTGAAGCACCACTTTAGCTAATGGGGCCTCCCGCTGCCACCGCTGCACGATTTCTGTTCTCATCCTGAAGCAAAGTTCTTAACCCGAGGTACTATTTCTGGGTTAGTGGAGTCTGTAACCTGAAGCGTCTGTAACCCGAGGTACCACTGTACTATTTGCAGACAAGTGGTTTATATACTTACGTATGTGTCTGCTTTGTCACGTTATGAACATTTAATTTGTATATTTGAGACCTTGAATTCTTATAACACCAGATGCCGGGGTCACACCTATGTTCTGCATCTTCTGAGACCCTTCTTCGTGTTTCTCCTCTCCTCGAGAGGTCTGGAGGGTGGCAACACAAAAACGTGGGGTTTTCAAAGTACTGGTTTTGAGCTATAAAGCCTTAAACGGCTCAGGACCGCAATACCCCAAGGACTGCCTCTTTCGATATGAACCTACCCGGACCCTGAGATAATCTTCTGAGTCCTTCCTTCGTGAGTCCTTCCTCAAGAGGTCCGGAGGGTGGCAACACGAGAACGGGGCCTTCTCTGCAGTGGCTCCCCGTCGGTGGAATGCTCTCCCCAGAGAAGTTTGTTTTTTTTTAATAAGATATTTATTAAGATATTCTTAAAATATTACAATAAAAATGAAAAAATAACAAAAATACAAAATAAAAATGGTTAAAAACACACAGATTTTCCATTACTTATTTTCCTTTAGCTTGTTTCCCGACCTCCTCATACCTCCCTTTTTGTATTCCACTTCAATCTGTTGGTTCAGCAAATCCTTACCCTCTTTAATTATCCTAATCCTTGATCTTAAAAATAATAGCATTAGATTTTTACCTATTTATAACCCTTTTTCATATTCCCTTAAAGCATTACAGCTGGAAACCACTTAATTTCTATCCAACATCATTCTAACATTCATTAATTTTACAATATTTCTGTAGATAGTCTTTGAATTTCTTCCACTCTTCTTCCACCGACTCTTCTCCCTGGTCTCGGATTCTGCCAGTCATTTCTGCCAGTTCCATATAGTCCATCAGCTTCATCTGCCATTCTTCCAAAGTGGGTAAATCTTGTGTCTTCCAATACTTTGCAATGAGTATTCTTGCTGCTGTTGTGGCGTACATAAAAAAAGTTCTATCCTTCTTTGACACCAATTGGCCGATGATGCCCAGGAGAAAGGCCTCTGGTTTCTTCAAGAAGGTATATTTAAATACCTTTTTCAGTTCATTATATGTCATTTCCCAGAAAGCCTTAATCCTTGGGCATGTCCACCAAAGGTGAAAGAATGTACCTTCTGTTTCTTTACATTTCCAACATTTATTATCGGGCAAATGATAGATTTTTGCAAGCTTGACTGGGGTCATGTACCACCTGTATATCATTTTCATAATATTCTCTCTTAGGGCATTACATGCCGTGAACTTCATACCTGTGGTCCATAACTGTTCCCAGTCAGCAAACATAATATTATGTCCAACATCTTGTGCCCATTTAATCATAGCAGATTTCACCGTTTCATCCTGAGTATTCCATTTCAACAGCAAGTTATACATTCTTGACAAATTTTTAGTTTTGGATTCTAACAATTCTGTTTCTAGTTTTGATTTTTCCACCTGGAAGCCAATTTTCTTATCCAAATTGTATGCCTCCATTATCTGATAATAATGAAGCCAATCTCGCACTTTGTTTTTTAATTTCTCGAAACTCTGCAATTTCAGTTTGTCTCCTTCTTGTTCCAAAATTTCCCAATATTTCGGCCATTTGGCCTCCATATTGAGCCTTTTCAGAGCTTTCGCTTCCATCGGTGACAACCACCTTGGGGTTTTGTTTTCCAATAAATCCTTATATCTTATCCAAACATTAAACAGTGCTTTCCTGACAATATGATTTTTAAATGCTTTATGTGCTTTGACCTTATCATACCATAAATATGCATGCCATCCAAATACATTATTAAAACCTTCTAAATCCAAAATGTCTGTATTTTCAAGAAGTAGCCATTCTTTCAACCAGCAAAAAGCTGCTGATTCATAATAAAGTTTAAAGTCTGGCAGGGCAAATCCACCCCTTTCCTTTGCATCAGTTAATATCTTAAATTTTATTCTGGGCTTCTTGCCCTGCCAGACAAATCTAGAAATATCTCTCTGCCACTTCTTGAAACAATCCATCTTGTCCACAATTTGCAATGTTTGAAACAAAAACAACATTCTAGGCAATACATTCATTTTTATCACAGCAATACGACCCAACAGTGAAAGCTTCAAATTTGACCAAATTTCTAAGTCTTTTTTCACTTCCGTCCAACATTTTTCATAATTATCTTTAAATAAGTTCCCATTTTTGGCTGTCATATTAATCCCCAGGTATTTCACTTTCTTAACCACAGTCAAGCCTGTCTCATTCTGAAACCTCTCTCTTTCAATCGGTGTTAAATTTTTCTCTAAAACCTTAGTTTTTAACTTGTTCAATTTAAATCCTGCCACTTGACCAAATTCTTGAATCAGTTCTAAAACCCTTTTAGTACTAGATTCTGGCTCCTGTAACGTCAATACTAAGTCATCTGCAAATGCTCTCAGTTTGTACTGTTTGGCTCCGACCTGTATACCTTTAACCAACCGGTCCCTTCTAATCATATTCAGCAGAACCTCCAGGACCGATATAAAAAGCAGTGGGGAGATTGGGCACCCCTGTCGTGTCCCTTTTTCTATCTTAAATTCTTCCGTCACCACATTATTTACAATTAATTTAGCCTTTTGTTCAGAATATATTGCACCTATACCATTTTCAAAACCTTGGCCTACCCCCATCCGCTGTAGGTTCTTCTTCATAAAGCTCCAAGAGATGTTGTCAAAAGCTTTCTCCGCGTCCACAAATATCAGAACTGCTTTAGTGTTTATGTTCACTTCTAGTTTTTCCAAAATATCAATTATATATCAATTATATTCCTCAAATTATCAGACAAGTGTCTTCCCGGGAGAAAGCCCGCTTGATCTTTATGAATCTCTTCCATCAATACTTTTTTCAATGCTCTCCCCAGAGAAGTTTGCCTGGTGCCTTCATTATACACCTTTAGGCGCCAGGCAAAAACATTCCTTTTTAACCAGGCCTTTGGTTGATCTTATTGACATCCCCTTTAAAATGTGGCTATTTTGGCGGGGGTTTTGGGGATTATTGCTTTTGGTTTGGTTTTATCTGTTGTGGTCTTGAACTGTCCTGAGACCTCCAGGTATAGGGCGGTGTATAAGTTGAATGTATAAGGTGTATAAGGTCTGTATAGTAAAAGCTATGGTTTTCCCAGTAGTGATGTATGGAAGTGAGAGCTGGACCATAAAGAAGGCTGATCGCCGAAGAATGGATGCTTTTGAATTCTGGTGCTGGAGGAGACTCTGGAGAGTCCCATGGACTGCAAGAAGATCCAACCTCTCCATTCGGAAGGAAATCAGCCCTGAGTGCTCACTGGAAGGACAGATCCTGAAGCCGAGGCTCCAAGACTTTGGCCACCTCATGAGAAGAGAAGACTCCCTGGAAAAGACCCTGAGTTGGGAAAGATGGAGGGCACAAGGAGAAGGGGACGCCAGAGGACGAGATGGTGGGTCAGTGTTCTCGAAGCTAGTAACATGAGTCTGACCAAACCGCGGGAGGCAGTGGAAGACAGGAGTGCCTGGCGGGCTCTGGTCCAGGGGGTCACGAAGAGTCGGACACGACTTAACGACTAAACAACAACAACATAAGTTGAATGAATAATAATATTAATGGTACCCCACTGCCAGCCATCCTTCCCCCTTCCCTCCTGTTGACAGTCTCTGCTCTCTCCTCCACACAGAAGAGCAAAAGCGTAATAATAATAATAGCAAATTTATGTAAATTGAGGGGGTGGGATTCCATCAGCTCCCCAGAAAAGGCCGCAGGTTGCGAGGGAAGAGAGAGGGAATGAGATTGCGGCAAATCAAATCAGAGAAGAACCGAGAAAACTGCAATACTGAATTATTGCCTCCGGCGTTGAAAAGAAAATCTCTGGGTAGTTCGAAGGATTCGTGTTGACACACTTCTAAGCAAGATGTGGAAAAATGAGGGGGGGACGGACGAGGAGAGGAACAATCTTGAAAAAGCACACATAAACTTCTCCCCTCCACCATCTGCTCGTAGCTGGATTCCCTCTTTCCCAAACCAATTTGATCTTTGTTTTATTTCAGCAGAGACCTCTTGGCAAGGCGGAAGAAAAGGAAAAAATCTTAGGCAATTAAAACCCTGCAAAGTGCAGCCGAGGGGTGTGTGGGAAGGGAGTAGCAGTCAAAAAAGAGACAGCCCTCCAAGATCTGTGTCCGCAGCAGATCTGGGAGCCAGGAGGAGGCCGCAACAGCAAAGTGCCCGGCGCCGTAATTGGTTGAAGGTTATTCCAAGGCTCTGACCAGCAAGAAGACCGTCTCAGGCAGCCTTCAGAAGCGTCCACTCCAGAGGACAATGCAATTATCTTGGCAGAAGCCAAACAGCACAAAAGAACAATCAAAGAGAGAAGTGGGCGTCTCAGAAAGCTACGAATGTGTCTCCCTTTGTGGCAAAGTGGCAAGGAATTCGCCGGCATCAGTGCTCAGTGCGGTAGCCGAATCTGGCACCAGCGTCGATGATCAATCCAGTAGCCGAATCTGGCTGGAACGGCTTATAAAAATGTCAGCCAGCATGGTGCAATGGTTAGAGTGCGAGATTAAGACCTGCGAGACTAGGGACTTGTTGTTGTTGTTTAGTCATTTAGTCGTGTCCAACTCTTGGTGACCCCCTGGACCAGAGCACGCCAGGCACTCCTGTCTTCCACTGCCTCCCGCAGTTTGGTCAAACTCATGCTGGTAGCTTTGAGAACACTGTCCCACCATCTCGTCCTCTGTCGTCCCTTCTCCTTGGGCCCTCCATCTTTCCCAACATCAGGGTCTTTTCCAGGGAGTCTTCTCTTCTCCTGAGGTGGCCAAAGTCTTGGAGCCTCAGCTTCAGGATCTGTCCTTCTGTCCCTGGATTCTTGCCACTGCTGAGCGGAGAGGCACCCAACTTTAGTAATACAGTGGTACTTTGGTTCTCAAACTTAATCCGTTCTGGAAGTCCGTTCCAAAACCAAAGCATTCCAAAACCAAGGCGCGCTTTCCCATAGAAAGTAATGCAAAACGGATTAATCCGTTCCAAACTTTTAAAAACAACCCCTAAAACAGCCATTTAACATAGGTTTTACTGTCAAACGAGACCTTTGATCCATAAAATGAAAGCAATAAACAATGGGCTGCAGTCGCACAAGCAGTCCATCAGTAGCTGGACTGGGTTCCCACACAGCCACAAAAACAAAACAAAAGAGCCACAAAAACGCAAAATAAATAGCAAAAACAAACAGACCTCAGCATAACATTCGAAATGGAAGTGTAGCACTCAAATCGGAAGCGTAACACTAAAAACTGAGCATGTTCGGCTTCCGAAAAAGGTTCGCAAACAGGAACACTTACTTCTGGGTTTGCAATGTTTGGGTTCCAAGTTGTTTGAGTACCAAGGCGTTTGAGAACCAAGGTACCACTATACTTGAAAGAAGTTTTCGAGAAAGGAGTTTCGATTTTTCTGTCACATTCAGAAGATCAAACGTTAATGTCTAAATGATGCGTACATCAAAACATTTTATTTTTATTTTTTTGAGCAGGAAAAACAACAGCCACCAAACAAACGAGGAAACAAAGAGACTTAAGAGCAATGTTAAGCATTTCCGTGTTTAATTAGAAACATATTCAAAACAGCCAGTGCTTTCCGGACATCAAATGCTTCCGTGGATAACTGTGCGATAGAATAGGCCATATTTATTCATATATGTGCTAAGAGTTCTGAAGACATTCGCCTGAGGAAGGAATGGGCAAAACGAGTTTCTTTTTAAAATAAAAAATCTAGGCAGCAATGTGATAGATCAGAGAGAAGCAAGTGGGGCATGCCTAGAGAAGGCGGGTTTGTTTGTTTGCACTGGAAAAAGAGAAGCAACTTTGAAATGCTGCCCTAGCGTCACAGCACCCCCTGGTGGCACAGGAGGGGAATTTTCAGCCACCATGACCCCAAAGCAGCCGGTCCTAAGAGATAATTTTTAGATAAAACACGTGGTCTTGGAGCCTTCCAAACTCCCATTAACTGAAAGGAGCACCAATGTCTGTAGGGGGGGGGGGGAACCAGGCAATGTCAGTTCCAGATCATTTGCTCCCTTCTCCCTTCCCTTCCAGCGACTCCAGAAACCCCCAGAATTCAGAGAAAGGAAGACACTTTGCAGAAAAGGAGGTTAGAGAACCACACAGTTGTTCCTCGACTGCCTCTGTCGCAGGCTGTTTGGGAAGAAGTTCCCTTCACTGGATTTGAAACTGGATTGCCATATATATATATATATATATATATATATATATATATATATATATCCTGTTGTTGATTCCAAAGCCAGGCAGAGGTATACAGTGAGACCTAGCCTAGCTTTTCTCCTGCCTCCCTGCTCCCTGCCCTAAACCCCCCATTTTTAATAAACCTGAGAAATCTCAGCAACTCTGAGCTGATTTGCTAGAAAGCTGGGCGCAGGCCTCCTTGCAGTGTAAGCCATCTGGCCTGATTTAAAGCATTCCACCCCACATCTGGAGTGGGAGAAGGAGATGGCTGAACTTTAAAAAGAATTCTTAAAAGTGGGAGCGACTGGTAATGGGGTAGAGCAAATCAGGAAGGTGGCGATGTAGGTAGAATTCAGAATTTCTGACTCCACTTCAGATGTCTCGATGTCTCTCCTCCGCCAATGGATTGCTGCTTCTGCAAAGCAAGGATTCCAGTCTCAGATTGGGCTGGTAGGAAGCCTGGGTCAACTTCTGCGCAGAGGGCCAGATTCCTAATGGAAAAGACATTTCAGTAAGGGGAGCAACGGAGGACCCCTTGTGGTTTCTGCACTGCTCCACATATCTCTGGTTTCTTCCTTCCTCCCCCTTTTTAAAATAAGATATTTTCCTTAAAGGTAAAGGGACCCCTGACTATTAGGTCCAGTCGTGGCCAACTCTGGGGTTGCGGCGCTCATCTCGCTTTATTGGCTGAGGGAGCCGGCGTACAGCTTCTGGGTCATGTGGCCAGCAGGACTAAGCCACTTCTGGCAAACCAGAGCAGCGCACGGAAACGCCGTTTACCTTCCCACCGGAGTGGTACCTATTTATCTGCTTGCACTTTGACGTGCTTTCAAACTGCTAGGTTGGCAGGAGCAGGGACCGAGCAACGGGAGCTCACCCCGTCATTTCGGGAATTCGAACCGCCGACCTTCTGATCGGCAAGTCGTAGGCTCTGTGGTTTAACCCACAGCGCCACCCGTGTCCCTGTGTATCTGTAACCTTTTGGCAGAAGCGGATGAAATTTGTAGGCACGGCTGTTGTAGGCACTGGTTTTCAGACCAATAGGTTTAGGAATATAGGAAGCTGAATCAGACTGAGTCAGACCCTCAGGTCCATCTAGGCTCAGTTTTGTCTACACTGGCCAGGAATCGAACCTGTGACCATCCACAGCTGATCTGCCCCTTCCTGCTGTTCCTTTCAAAACGTTTCTTCTCAAATAGGTCACACAAGTTCTGGGTTCACCTCCAAAAAACCTGCAGGACCTATTGGGGCCTCCTTTGCAGACAGAGTCTCATTTCAAATTTGCTGAGGGGGGGAGGTGAATTTAGTGAGGGGAGGTTGCGCTCCCCCCCCCCTTAGCCAGGCTCCATCAGCGCTGACAGGTAACCTGACAAGCCGTCCTTCAGAGGGAGACGTTCCCAAGAAGATGGAGGAGTGGAAAATGGGAAAGGGGGGTGGTTTTCGGGCCGTGGCGCGAAATCCTTGGAAAAGAACAGGCAGCGGCCCAAAAATAAAAGAGATATCATCGAGTAGGCAGAACTCGAGGGCAAGACCACAGTTTAGCTGAATCCTCAAAAGATGGAGAGCATTATGTATGATGTTTAGGGTGGTCACAACAGCAGTCTCAATCCTGATCCTTTCAGATCTGCCTTGGGGGACTGGTCTCCATCCCCCAAATATATCTCTGGGGTCTCGGTTCCTATTTCCTTTTATTTTTACTGCCTCATCTCTGCAGTCTCCATCTTTGATCCTCCACATTCCCGTAACAGTTTGTGCTGTTTCCCATTTGTTTTTCTAAAAAATTCATCAGCGATGCAAAAAAAACCCCCAGATGAGCCGGGTTGCGGGGTGTTTGGGGACAGCAAATCTGAGCTCCTTGGAGGAAAAGAAAAATACTTAACAAATAAATTTGAGGCGGTGTCAGAATTCCAAGAAGGGTGTGAAGCAAGGCCAGTGAGAGGCGTGGCCTGCGGAGAGTTCTGAGGGCCAGATAGAAAGGTACGGAGGGCCTGAGGTTCTCCATATCACCCTGTCTTAGTTATACTGCATCAAGGTGTGGTACGCTGGTTTGACACCAACTGATAGGAAGTGCCTACAGAGGGTGGTGAATACAGCACAAGGTATTATAGGCTGTCCCGTGAATCGGCTGGATGAAATAGCAGAAGAAGGTTGCCTCAGG